CCTACCGAGAAATGGTAACTTTTCCCAATTTGCATAACGTATTTCAAACTTGGCCGCTAATTGAACAATCATTCTTTCTTGTTTGATAAGTTACGAATAAAAAGCAAAATATTTATTTCTAAACAGGTTTTGTAATTCTGATAGTAATTTACAACTTTCAATATTAATTTAATTACTTCTGATTTAGTATAGTAATTCTATTATCTGGTGCTATACCAAAATCAGAATTTGGAAAATCTATATACTCGTGTATTGCTTTGTTTCCGTTAGTAAATTTCCATATTATAAGGGAAGCTATTTGTTCCTTCAAAAGTTTATCACCAACGATAATCAGTATAGTGCAATGACATTTAGCAAGTTCGTCATGCTTTGCAGCGCGTATTCTTTCTCGACATATGATGATGACAACAATAGCGTTTATACGGAAATGAAGTGTCCCAAATCTTTCGTTGATCTTATTTCAAAATAGTTAATATTCATCAGATTTTAATGCAAGATTATATCCAAAGTTTTGAAACAGTATCAGATTTTAACACAAGATTAAAACTTTTGCATGAAAAAAGTAGTATCAGATTTTATTAGCCTGGAAAATTAATTTTCAGATTTTAATGGAAGACAAATGCATAAATAATCTGATTTGAAAGATTGGAATTACTTAATTAGATTACGGATTTTTAATAATAATTCCAATTTTCCAGAGGTTTATCTAATTTTTCAAATACGGAATTTAGGAAGAGAAATATGAGAATAAAAATCAAAGGGGCAGTTAGTGTAACTCGAGAACAACTTGACTATTCTGCTTCTCTGTTATTTCCTCCTCTTTTGTTTCACTCTTCCTTTAAAGCCAGGCGTACACATTCGGGTCACTGGCACGAGGTTGCTTTAACGATTTGCATTGCATGAGACCCAACCCTTTCATAATCATCATCATGTCTCTCTTTCTCTCTCTCTCTTTTTCGCATTCAAGTCACAGGGGTAAGTTTTCAATTACCTCTGGCAAAAACAATCGAATTACAAAAACAACCAATTATTCCCGCTGTCATTCAGAAATTGCCTTTTCCTTTATTATTAAATCAAAAATTCAGATTTTTCACAGAGAGATGAAAAAAGAAACCTTCCAATGGAATTTTATAAAAATCTAAAATATTGAATTTGCTTCACTGATAAACCTAAAAAAAAAAAATGTTGCACTATTAATAGTTCGGAAGTATTCCAAGAATGAAATGTAAATACACACAGCTATAATGAATTATTAAGGTTCCACGTGTGTACAGAGTTTGTTTTCTTAAAGAAAGCCCAGAGAGGGGAAAATCCCATCGTTGATAGTTGTAACGCGTGCTGAGGATTCATGCGGATTAGAAGTTATTTTCGTAAAATGAGGCATAACATAATTTTTTGTCCTCTATTATATTTATTTTCGTTGAATTGTGATTCAATTAGTGTTTGTTTCATCAAGATTTATTCAGTGAGTGGGGTTTTATTGAAAATTATTACTAATTGGACGAAATGTTTCCGAATTGTATCTTGATGCTAATAATTCCACTAATTCTAATTTCAATAAATTTTGGGATTTTGAAATATGGAAAAAATATTTCCTCTCCGTAAAACAGGAAGTAAAAAAAATATCATCAGTGAATATTGTGACGACTAGAGAGAGAATGTTTCAAAGAGGGGGGGGAGCAATAGTTATTGGCACAAGGTGCCAGTGACACCTTTCTCGACGGAGAAAAGGCTACCGGTGTTGTAGACAGCATTCTAACAAAGTGTCGTGTGCCACCCACACACACACTCTGTGAAAATATGCGTCTCGGTAAACTCATCCCTTTTTTGTCTCTCCCTCTCTTTTTCTCCTTCCTTCTTCACTCTTTCCCTCTTCCTCTTATATATACGAAGTCCTCAAGACATCATGCTATCTAATGGTTTATAAGAAGAGCGACATTTTATCTCAAGGAAAATTCAATTTGCCTCGCGCAAAAGTGCCGGATCAGGTTTTAATTCCGACGATACTTTTGCACACATTTTTTTGGAGAATGGGACAGGGAACATTTTCTTATAATATGTAACGCGCTTTTCTGCTGCCTTGGAAAGGATGAGATAGACGACGGAGGGGAAAAAAGAAGAAGAAGAAAGGAGAATCGAGCGATAGCTCGCTTTGGAGGTGAAATAGAGGAAATATAGGTTAGATTACGTGAAGACGCATGGCCCGAGGCCAAAGACTTCCGCCATTCCTCTTTGTTTTACTATATGGAAGGCTTTGTGAAGAGCTAGTTAAACATATAACGAAAGCAGTATTTTATTTCTCATCTTTAAATATCAATTTTTTAATTTCTTCATACAAAAAGTTTTTGCAAACGGGAGTGAATTATAGAAAAATGAATTTCAATCATAGCAGTGAATTTCTGTTTCTGTGGAACAGATGTAGTGCTAAAAATTATCGCTTTAAAGTAAAATGATTCGAAATTCGATTGTATTCGTCTGACGCAAAAGTCATCTAAAGACCACTTTCGGTGACTTTTTGCGTCAGACGAATACAATCGAATTTCGAATCATTTCATTTTGGAGCGTAAATTTTTAGCAGTACACTTGTAGAATGGAAAGACAAATTCACTTCTATATTTTAAAACCATTCACTGCTTCACCTATAGTGAAAATCGCCAAAAGTGAAAATCACCAAAAATATTAGTCATCGAACTACTGCTACTTTAATTGATTTTTGAACCAGTGAATGGATTGAAAATATAGCAGTGGATTTCTGTTCCTGTTGTACAAAAGTACTGCTAAAAATTTTCGCTTCAAAATGAAATGATTCGAAAATCGATTGTATTCGTCTGACGCAAAAGTCATCTAAAGACCACTTTCGGTGACTTTTGCGTCAGACGAATACAATCGATTTTTGAATTATTTCACTTTGAACCAAATTTTTTTTCTCAGTACTTTTGTACCACAGAAACAGAAATTTACAGCATGATTGACATCCATTTTTCACCAACCCGCATCCGGCTAAAACAACTCATATTATCAACTACAATCTAATCACATTAATCAAACTGCAAACGAATATTTTTAAATAACAATAAATTCTATTAAAAAAAAGAAATTACCATATTTCTCAATTTCTAGAATGATTAAACCCGGTCTTTTTTTGTACCATAGAACACTGTTGAATATTCAGTGAACATAGGTAAGCAACTAACTTTTGCATTGTATAAGAGGTCCGGCGCGAACAAAAAACTTTAAAAGGATGCGACGACCTGTAAATATAAAAAGCGTCACCTATCTAGAGTGTATGAGAGACTATCTATATATATATATACATCGGAAGAGGTAAAAGAGTCGAGGAACAGTTTGGTGAATGTTACAGAGTTAGAAAGAGGAGGAATAGGGGGATATATACGAAGGGAGGGGGAGGAGTAAAAGGGGTTTTAGAGTCGAGAAGCGACAAGAGTATGGAGACGGGTACATGGCTCTGATTAGCATACAAACTACGCGAAGCCATGTTGCGTTGACTCAACGACATGGTACGGCGTAACAACGGCAACATAACAGACGACGACGTATAGCACTCATATAGAGGATCGCAAGAGGCACTTTTAGACCCGACAACTTTTGCCCACCCACAATGTGCGAACATTGCCTCTCTCACATTCCCTAAAAAACACTTGAGATATCGCCAAGCCGATTGCAAACTAAAGCGACTATTATGATAAATACTACACTTGGCGCTCATAACAGGGATGCCATTGTCATCCTCACCGGAAGTTGGAGAAAGAGAACTGCTACGGTTTCTAAAAGCATTTCTTCAGCTAATTCTGATTTCTCCAAATCTGAATTCGACTTAACAGATTTAGAAGATTTCGGAATAATTTTCATAATACTTTTCTCAGCTTATAGAAGATAAACAAAACCAACAGATTTTGAATTTATCCGAATAAGACTATACCATTGGTAATGGCAGGATGAGTTGTTATACCAAAACGGTAGTAAAACGCACATGCTTTGCTATTTTAGGCTAATTTAAGAGGTCCTTGAGAGTGTATAATATTTAGGAAAGGAGTGTAAATCGCCTCCTTTATATGTGTGCACTATATCGCACTATATCGATGATGCCACCAACCAAGGGCTCTTGACCTTCTTCAAATATCTCTTGACTCTTGACAAAATGGCCATATACGATCGCGTTTGAATCACCCGTTTGGGTTCTGCTGATATATAAAACATAAGCTTTAGTACCCGCACGTTGACGTTTCGACCTGTGGTTATGGCTTTCCGATCTTCTACTTCTTCTTCTTCTTCTTCCTCTTTTTTTTACGATCAGCAATCTCGATTATATTCCGTACCAACGTTGCCGCCGCTGCAGCCACTCCTCGATGTCGCACACACATATACATACACACACACACAGAAGAAGAGTGCGAAAATTGCTGATGGTCAAGCGCACTTTCTGTTCATATGGAAATTTTATTTGAGGGGGAACACTTTAGGAGATGATTTAACACTAGTTAAATTATCATAATAGGCGGGGAAAATAGTCAAAATTATTGATGAGATGTCAGGGTTCATATTGTATTCTAATTTTATTACGAAATTCGCCAAACTAGGCTCTGAGCGGGCTGAAACAGGGAAGCAAAACTAGACTCTAACCAGGCCTGGAAAAAGGAAGTAAACCGGGGCCAAACTAGGTTCTGAGCTGGCTAACATAGGGGAGCAAAACGGAGCCAAACTAGGGCCAAACCTGGCTCTAATCGGGCTGAAACGAGGAACCCAACTAGGACCACACTGGGTCGCAGTCGGGCTCTGGTTCTAATCGGACTGTAACAAAGAACCTAACTGGGGCGAAACTAGGCTCTGATCGGGCTGAAACAAGGAACCAAGCTAGAGACAGTTTATGCCCTAATCGGGGCCAAAAAGGGCTCTGATCGGACGAATTTGGGGCTTAAAAAATAAAAATTCCAAACTAACGGATAAATTTACAAAAAAAACTTTTGAATAAAAACACTTACTTCCAGAAGACGACGGAAACAACGGCAGCCATTAGTAGAAGTACAACTGTACAGGTGATAATAAGGGCAGTACTTTGCAAAGATGGATTCGAATGGTAGGATGCGTCGATCATCTGCAAAAAAAGAAAAGAAAAATATAATTAAAAAACTTTGTTTTGAATTTTTTTTTCGTCGATTATTATTATTATTATTTTTTTTTTATATAATAATTTTACTTGAATAATAGCGCGCCTTAAATAATTCCAAAACAGGGGATGAAAATATCATTTCATTGCGCTCTCGCGATAAACAGAAGTATAAACATAAAAGTTTCCCCCTTATATGACATAGCCGTCTGTTATTCGTTGATACTCTGTATAACTTTAATAGCGCGCGCACCGGCAAAGAGAGAGAGAGAGAGAGAGAGAGAGAGAGAGAGAGAGAGAGAGAGAGAGAGTCGAGTAAAAACATGAACGGGAGTTTATTTATTTCTGCCAAGACGAAGAAGAGAACCGCACCGTCTCTTTTCATTTTTTTTTTTACACATTTTCTGTAAGAAGAAAAAAGAGTTTACAATCCAGAAAAGCGGAACTTGTATTACAAAAGTCTTTTCTCTTTTACTAAAACTTGATCCGTTTTTCACAAAAAACAATTTCGACTTCGTTTTTTCTACCTCCCCTCCCCCCCCCCTAGTTTCAAAAGAGAAAATTCCGCACTAAAGTTTGAAAATTTGTTATTTTAACTAAATTCTTCCCCAACCAGCAATTTTCTATATAACATGAAACTATAAAGGTTTTGTTTGAAAGTATGTTTTGCAAGTGAGTAACTAGAACTCGTTATTTACAAGTTTACCTCTCTCATCTATTCGCCCCTCTCTCTCTCTCTCTGTCTCTCTTTCTCTCCTTCCCTTATAGCATTTTCTCTGCTGATTACCCCAGTAATCCTAATTTTGCCCTTCTAATTACATCTCTTGGAAGAAGCTTCTTCTTTGATCAATAATCTAACACAACATCTATCTCGAAGAACAAACTAATGGGACAACTTCACATTAAGCTCTCCAAGCAATTGAAAACACGGTTTATAAATATATATATATATATATATTTATCAAAAGAAGAATAAAGAAGCTATTAATTAATTAAGACAAAAAAAAGTTGTTTTTTTTATACTGAAAAAATAATTAATTATTTATAGAAAAAGGAAAAGTGATTTTCTACGCATTAAGAAATAATTAGAAAATCATTAATATTACGATGTAATTTATTTTTAATTATAATGATGAATTGAAGTGATAATGAAATCAAAAGAAGGCATAAAAGAATTTTTGTTCTCCTGGCCAGTGCTATATTCTTTCATTTCACATCATTTTCAAGTCGTTTAGACTTCACTTTTACTTTATTCTCACTTTATTTCGCCTCCCATCAATTTCACTGTACTTTTCTTCGCTTTCACGTCACTTTTGATCAATTTTCTCTTCACTTTCACTTCACTCTCAATTTAATGTCACTTCACATTTGCTTCGCTTCCTCTTTTCACGTCACTTTCACGTCAATTGAAAGTGAATGTGAAGTGAGGCGATGTGAAGTGAAAGTGAAAATGAAGTGTAGTGAAAGTGACGTGAAGATAAAGTAAAATTGACGTAAAAATGAAGTGAAGTGAAAATGAAGTGAAGTGAAAGTGACGTGAAATACAGAACAGCACTCCAGAAGAACAATATTTTCCTCTAATTATACCCAATGAATTATTAGTCAATTCAGACTTTATTTTTATTCAAAAAAAAAAATTTTTTTTTTTTTTGCCAAAAAAGAAGAATAGATTCTCGTACCTTCACTACAACCTCTATTCCCCCATCCCTACCTCCATTTTGCTCGACTGAATCCATTAGCCGGCGCCATTAATATCGCGGTAATGATGAGCGATGAGGCACCTAGGATATAGAGGAAAAGAGAGATGTAGATAGGAAGAGTTTGTGTTACAAGAGATCGAGAGAGAAAGAGAGGACGAGGAACCACCACACCTCGTCTCGCGGCAGGTCTTTGATAAATGCTGCTTTCCTTGGCCTTATGCCAAACAACACGTTGCACAATATCCATATAGCTTCTATCTGCATCGTCGTCCTGCCCTTTTCCTGCAGGCTTTAAAGGGTGAGGAGGAGGAGGGGGAGAAAAGGGAAGTAAGGAGGGAGGGGGGGTTATCGATACTAAACCAATCCCTCCGGGTGATGACCCCTTTTCTCCTTTCGTTATATTGTTGATCCCTTTTCCTTCCTGACTCGATTTCTTCTCTCTCTCTTCTTTCTTTTTCCCTTTTTCCATCCCTTATAATTTCCCCCCCTAATATAGGGTAACTTTTCTCATGTTCTAGTTTTGGAAAAAAAAAAATTTTCCGCTATATCTACTTACAAAAATAACTTTCGTCGTCGTCAAAATCACCGTTGTTTCAAGAATCTATTTTTTTTTTTTTGGCTCTGATTTTAATCTCAAACCCAGCGGTTTCTTTAAGTAGAAATTAATCTAATTTTGAGGTTATGTTAGCTGATTTGATTTATATTAGCTCTACCGCGCCGTTTTGAAATGTTCATAACATTTGACCTTGAATTATGAGGTTATGTTTGCCCTTACTTATCACCTATTTTTAAGGTTATGTTTTCAGGTTCGTTAGTATTTCAACCTTGAACACTGATAGGTCATAAATTAGGCGACCGGTAACTATAAAGTTTGAACATAACCTCTTAGGTCAAAATTCAAAGCTAAAATACCAACATAACCTCAAAAATAGCCCCCCTAGTATCTATATTTTTCTTAGGGGGGCTAATTTTGAATTTTTGAGGTTATGTTCGTATTGTAGTTTGGATCTAATTTTAAGATCATGTTTACTTATTATATGCGAATTTGTATAGAACAAAAGGTGAAAATATTTTAACAGTAGAGGCTGAAAATTGAACACTAGGTTCAAAAAGCCAATTTTGGAAATTAATACAATATTTTAAATGTATATGAAAAAAGAATAAAGCGCATAGGTCAATTGAGGCAATAAAAAAAAAGGAACCCCACCCCCCCTCACTCTCCAATATCGAAAACTAACGAACTCCATGATTCCCAGAGGAGTAGTTGAAATTACGCGGCGCTCTCTCGAATCTAATCAATTGGCACGCTATCTCGTTATATACGAAACATATATATATATCAACCATCTCTGCAAAATATATATATAGAACGATGAGTGTATATGAATTGGGCGAGATTCGTTATACGTGGAAGAGGAGCACGCGAGTAACGCATGCAAATGCCCTCGGACAAATGCGTAATTAGCTTAACCCGGGGGTCCCCAACACACCAAGGGGAATATATAGTATATATATATATATATATAGGAAGAGGAGAAAGAGGAGGAGAAGAGGTGGAATCGTTAAATCAACGGGACGATTTTCGATTCAGGTAACATAGAGCCAGGGGTATTGTGTTCAGTGAGTATATGCTAATGAATTGGCCGAATAAAATGTTTTACTGCCCCAACTCTCCTATGCTGCATTATACATTATCCGTTTCCTCTCTATTCTATTATATATATATATATATATAGGCCTTTTATAGAAGAGATCGTATTACGATATTGATTACGCTCCAAAACCATACCACAAACAGAAAGAGCAAAGATTGTCTTTTCCCCCCTTTCTTTATAGAGGCTAACTTTCTTTGTATGAACAAGGGAAGGGGGGGGAGGGTGAGAGGAGGGTGGTTTATTTACGTTAATTAATCAGATCAAGATATCGTCCCTTCGGATTCCAAAACTCATTTAAAAATTCTGCAGTGGAGAGGGAAAAAAAATTCCGAAGGGAGATGGGGGAATTACAAAAAAAAAAAAAAAATTGTTTCTTTTATTGTAGGGAGTAATTTTCTAGTTTTTACTATCGAATTTTTTTAATAAGAGTAATAATAATAATAAAATAATAATAATAATAATAATAATAATAATAAAATAATAATAATAATATAATAAAAAAATAATAACAATAATAATTATAATATTACATTACCGGAAGTCTCTTTCTCTCTATTCAGCGAGGACCTAATATAAAATCCTAGAAATAAAGCCGCGGCACGTGTTGTCACAATTCGAATCAGTTTTAATCCCCCTTTACATCCTGATGTGCACGCGATACAAAACAAAAATATATATATATTTTTTTTTTGAATTTCTCAAGAATGGGAAAATCTTTTTTTCTTTTATTCAGTTTTATTTTTGTTTATTTCAGTATATTTTAGTAAATTCTAGTTTATTTCAGTATAATTACTATTTTTTGGAAATTTGAGTTTTATTTTTGTTTATTTTAGTAAATTTTAGTTTTTTTTAGTACATTTTAGTAAATTGTAGTATATTTTAGCAAATGTTAGCAAACTGTAGTTGATTTTAGTATTTTGAATTAAATTATAGTATATTTTAGTTGCTTTTAATACATTTTAGTAAATTGTAGTTCATTTTAGTAAATTCTAGTACATTTCAGTAAATCTGAGTATATTTAAGTTTATTTTAATCTTTTTAATTTATTTTTCTTTATTTTACTTTATTTTAGTTTATTTTACTATATTATTTCCCGTCCATATATTCATTTTTCTTCTCCTACTTCTTCTTCTTATTCTCTACACTGCGCTTTTATTCCTCTTTTTCATTTTCCCGCTTCCTTAAATTTTTGCCCGTAAATTAAAGAGTACTCTTTCTCCCTCTCTTTCTCTCTTTCTTTGTCTGTCTGTCTATCTTGACCTAACGACTCGTGTGCGGTTTGTCCTCTAAGGAGAAAAGAGCGAGAAATTAAAATCTCTTCGCGTAAAAAAGTCTTAAAAGCTCACTTCGAATCATTATAATTTCAGAGAAATTTTTCTTCTTTTTTCATTATTTCAGTAAAAAAAAAAAAAAAAAAAAAAAAAAAAAAAAAAAAAAAAAAAAAAAAAAAAAAAAAAAAAAAAAAAAATTTCATATATCGAAATATTTTATTATCGTTTAAAAAAAAAAAAAAAGAAACACATTGAAATTTCATATATCGTTAACTTTGTTGTTGCACAGCAAAAGGGATTTTGTGGTTTCACTGTAATCTCACGACGAACATTGTTATACCTGACTTCAACGTTCATTACAC